AGATCCAATTGATGTAATTGTTGGTTAATCTTGTTTGTGTCCTTACATTCCACAAATTACAATCGTCAACCTGAGAAGGGTTGTAGGCGTACTGGTGTAAGTCCTGCAATTCTTCAAAGGAATTCCACCAAGAGATGATCGGCGAGGTTGTTTGTACTATTTGTATATACGTGTGGTGTGTCATATCAATTGGTGTATTTTGGATTCATTGTGTTTACTTGTTGTTTTCGTGTCTTGTTGTTATTGCGTAATTTTGTTAAAATTTTCGTCGTGATTATTTCTGAAGTTGTTTCGAGTCTTCTACATCCATGAATGAATTGATTGATGTTAAAGGCAGCAGATGGGTCGTATACGCCGGGGAGGCTATTTCTGAGAATGAAATGCACACGGAGATAATTGTTAGCTGCGGTCCCACACGCCGGGGAGAAAGAGTGTAAACGGCTGAGGCTCGCATGCGTCACCGCTACTAGAACTGAGGCAGAATGAGTGACAAGTGATTTCAGTGATAATTGATAGTGAATAGAACAGAGGATGCTTGAAGAGTATCCTGAGGTGCTGCTATGGTCACGTTGCATTCTGCAAGAGTCATTCTAGTAAGTGGCGATTGTGTTGCAAGATGTCAAGAGGAGGTCTCTGTCTGGAGGCGCAGGTCGTCAGCGATGTGTGAGATTGTGCTGTGGGTATGCTTGTGGTGTGTTGGCTTTCCTGTTTGTTTTCCATTTCAGCTCTGTCCGTGTGACCCAGGTTCTCGCAATGGCATCCAAGTCAACGTGCATTGATCGTGAAGGAAAAAAGGGTTGGATCCCTTTTTTGCCGGGGAGTGTCAATGGAGTTGAAGATTGAACGATCAATTCTTGGTTGTTTGCTTAAAATCAACTTCCCCGATTTTCGCGGAGGCATCAATACGACAGTCATCGTCTCATCGGTCGCTGTTCAGAAAGAAGAGTGAAACATCGTCAGAAGTAATACAGAGATTTATTATTGTAATATATGTTTTCAGACCTTAGTTTGCTTAGTTCGCTTATTCCTTTTATATGTTGGTGTAACAATACAGAAATATCAAACGGCAGATCGGTGTTTTGGTTTTTGCGTCCGTTATAACTAAGCGTTTCTGAGAAATCTTCTAAGAACAGCGTGGGCCCGAGCGTAGCGAGAGCTGAGCATTAACGGTTTATGAGACGAGACTGACATATGGTTACTACGGACTCCAGGGAGTTAGTGGTGAAATAGTCATCCAATTGACAGAGTCGAATGAGTTCTTGGACTAATCCTCAGTCTATGTGCTTGTAACTACGACATATTGTGCTTCCTGAATCTTGTTTCTTTCCTGTATTTAGTAGTGAGAAAGGCAGAGAGCAGAGTACCATTCTATGGTCACTACTGGAAAATCTGTTACCAACATAGGTGAATACTGGGATTTTGTCATGACAAAAAACAAGGTCCAACATTTTGTCACCACGAGTAGGTGTCTGGATGTGTTGTTGCCATCCATAACAGTCGTTAGTGGCAAGTAATTCGTCGAAGCGTTGGGGGCCGGAACTAGTTAGCCAATTGACTTCTGGAAGATTGAAGTCCCCTGCAATTATTTTGTAATTAGCACTAAACGAGGAGGCGTGTGCAAACGATTTAGCTAATGATGCATCAGTTTCTTTTGTTGCGCTTGGTGCTCGATAAACACAGCCTATGAGAAGTTTGTACTTATCTCCATGCAAGACAACCCAGAGTGAGTCAGGTACCTTATTCAGTATTTCATCTTGCACATTACTGACTACAAATGAGCTATGTATATATATGAGACATCCCCCACTACGCTTGCAATCTCTATTTGCACGGTGTACAGTGTAATCATCGATACCTATATGCACATCAAGTACAGAGAATGAGCACCATGATTCAGTAATCAGAGCTACAGTAAGCTTGGCGAATAATAATAATGTCCTTAGTTCAGATATCTTATTGATTAAGGAACGTGCATTAATCAGTGATATCTTTTCCATAGTTTGGTTTGTAAGGGTTTGTTATGTTTTACGAGTTGATATCGTGAATAAGTCACGGGATACTACAAACTCGCTTAAAATGTCACCATAACCTAAATCTATTTGCCCGTCAGCACCGCAAGAGTTTATGAATGATAGGGGGGTCGGACTGGGTGTCTGTATATCGGTGTTGGAGTGCAATGAGGTGGTTGTAGGTGCCATGGGTCATACCAGTGATTCGGTACACCTGGAAAATATACCATGTGTTACTGGATATAAAGGTAGTAGCGGTTGGGCCTGGGGTCAAAAAGCATAGCATCAAAACGTCTACCCATCCGATTGCTATTCGTCATACAGGTACACACATTCGTGTTGTTTTTATTACCTGAAGGAAATTGTGGGGAAGGTGCTTTGGTTGCAAGATTTTTGGGGTTTTGGAGCCTGACTTTCTATAAGGTGGGGCATGCGGAAAACCTCCAGATATACTTATGATTCGAGAGGAGTTTTTCGTAACAAGCGATGGTTTGTTGACATTCTTACTCTCAGCAGGCTTATTGAATACAAAGTATTCTTCCCCATCATGAGTCTCAACACTGGGAAATTTGTTCATCGTGGTGGGGTTACCACGTTTGGGTGAAAATTTCTTAGAACAACTTGCAGAAGTTCTGACTATTTTAACATCTTTCGATGAGGCTTTATTTACAGGACTAGTGGTATCTAAATCAGTTCCTAGTTCCCTTAATTGGCAAGTGTGGTTGTTGTGAAGTTTGCTGGACGCTACTGTCAGCACTAGGTGACTGCTGCTGTGCACGATCCTTAATTGGCGAATCCAAGCTAGAGGAGGTGACCTGGTTTTTACTACGCATTATTCGGCGCTGACACGGTGCTTTATCCTGAGCTACGGCTATAGACTAATAACTGCTATTCAGTCTTAAGTGATCCTGACATTAAGTAAGCTTACTAGGATCAAGGGAATTACTGAATTTCAAAATGATGGGAGGATTAGCCTGATTAAACCTTTTACGAAGTCTTTTGTATTCACATAGAACACTAGCCATGCCTCAACAAATCAGGGTTTTGTGTCTTACAGTCTTCAGAGGCAGAGAATCTGGGACGTTGTTAACTATAGCTTGGTGAGAAGAGGTTGTACGCTTCATCACCTCCACAACCAAGCAGTCAATCAGATTTTCAGCTTTATTTAGGTGGTCTGGAGACATTTTAGGATGCCTTTTTAACAGACAAGCCATTGGGTCTAAATCCGAAAGCTTATTTTGAGTTACATCCAGTAGAGACTTAACCTGGCCAATATCAGAACGGCTTTCCGTGGTATTTGAGATTGGCGGTGACATACTATCAAACTGATCTAATTTTTTCTGAAGTTCACCTACTTGTTTCTTGATATCTTTCACAAAGAAGTTTATTTACACAACTCAGAGTTCTCAAACAGAACATCTTTCGCCTGTATTACAGGAGTGAGATCTGCACTCAAACCATTTTGAGAGCTAGTAATTGATACGGTATTTCACGGCGGTAACGCAGATATAACCGAATTTGAGCCACTATCAAAAACAACTGTGTTTCTGAGAACACGTTGTTTAGAGATTTGGACCATAATTTAAAGAATGATATGGCAATAAGCAGTGAATAAATTTCAGAGCAAACACGTGCAAAAATGTCACCAATTTTAAAAGAAAGGCCAAAAAGCCATGTGGTCCATTGAATCACAAGTTATCAAATTTCCCCCACAACCTATAGACAAAAAGACAGCAACCATGTAATTCAACCATAAATCATGTAATTTATATATTCCTTATCCATGCTTATACAATTGGTGTGTCTTACATAAGCCGCGGTACGTTCGAATCTGGTGAAACTTTTGCATGTGTTTTCGCTGATATTCATTTTTCGGTTCAGCTATATTATCACCAATGATAATAATTGGCGAAAGCTTTAAAAAGAGTGTTCTTAGAAACACTAGTAATTTAGAAAATAGCCTAAGCTTATCGAGTAACACATTATCACCCATTAAATTGGCTGCAATTAGTGGTACACCCGATACAAATGGCTCCAACATAATGCGAACCCCTGTAATACAGGTGGAAGATATCCTGTCAGAAAAGGCAGAGATTACTAAATTAGTCTACATCATAAACGACATGCAGCTACGAATAAGTGAACTCAGGACGAAACTAAATCTACTTGACCTGGTACCATCTTAAAAAAGTACTGGAGGATCTCACTTTCCTAAAACTCTTCAAGCTCAGGACTAAACCAACCGATGCTGAAGTGGAACATGCTAAGGAGCAAGAAAACGCTATGGAATACTTGTCGAGCGAAGTTGTTAAGAGACTTGCTTCTAATCAGAACGCCATAGTGTACAACATACCTGACAATGAGCCCATAAAGTCGGTTCAGCACTCCTTGTTAAGAGCAGCAAACCTCTTAAGTACACCCTGTCAGTGTACTAGACTAAATAAAAATGAGTCAAACCTCTGGTACTCTTCTACAAGCTTCTTAACCACAATGTGTATATTCCTGCTAAGTATACTCGGTTCTCAGAAGACACTGGATATAACCTCAGACACACTAAATGTACAGTGGCTTCAGAGAAATGTGAAACAGCCACCAGGAGAAAGCTTTTCTTGATTAGGTATGCCCAAATATGGAACAGACTACCTCAGGAAATGTGACTAGCAAGCAAATCGGCCTCCTTCGAAAGGGCACTTAATGACACACTAAGTGAGTTTGCAAGTAATACCAGTGCTAGTTCCCATGTAAGAGCTTCAGAAATCATAGGCCCATTTGATGTTTGAACTTAGAGGATACACCTGTTGTTTGTTTTGCCTCTATTTATAATTCCAGACAAAAAAGCACCAGTCATGACCGTAACACTCATTCAATTAAGTTTTTTTTCTAAACTTCGGAAAATTTTAAGATAACGCTTTTTGAGAGAAGACTGGGAGGCTTTAGGAAGAATGGATGTAGACTATCCATCTGTCATGACACAATCCCAGTATCCACGTATGTTGGTAATAGATTTTCCAGTAGTGACCATAGAATGGTACTCTGCTCTCTGCCTTTCTCACCACTAAATACAGGAAACAAACAAGACTCAGGAAGCACAATATGTCGTAGTTACAAATATACAGACTGGGGATTAGTCCAAGAACTTATTCGACTCTGTCAATGGGATGACTATTTTACCACTGACTCCCTGGAGGCCTTAGTAACCCTGTTTTACAGGAATGTTACCCTTTGTCTAGATACAGTTGCCCCAAATAAAATAGTGAAATTAAGTAGACACCGAACTGAATATATTCCAAGGGCACACCGTAATAAGTTAAGGAAACTGAAGAAACAGTACTATTCCACTAAGGACATATCACTATTGCTCTCAATCCACGAGTCTCTTGAATCTATCAAGCGCCTACGTTCTCAAAAGGACCTCGACGAAGAGTTAACGGCACTTGAAAGTACCTCCAAAGTTTATAACTTAACGGCACTTCTTAAAAAACGAATGCAGTCAGCGAGGGAAATCCCATACTTACTTCACGACAAAGTAATCTACAATGAACCTGCCACTATCTGTGAACTCTTCAGTGATTGGTTTGCAAACTTTAGTTTAGAAACACATATGCCTGGTGAAACCGCTCCCCTTACTATCTCTTCCCTTGAAAGCATTGTGTTCACTAATCAACTAATAGTACAAGCAATTAAAAGCCTTAAACCTTCCACTAGTACGGGACCGGATGGCCTCGCTTCGATAATTTTCAAAAACAGTGGGTGTGATATACCCCTGTTACTTCTTAAATTCTTCTCAATATCTATGGACACTGGCACTTACCCTAGTGAGTGGAAAACTAGCTTCATAATTCCACATTACAAATCTGGTGATAGGGCAAACGTCCGCAATTACAGACCCATAAATATAACCCCAGTTATCTCACGAATCATGGAGAAAGTTGTAAAGGATCAATTGTCAGACTACCTAATTAGGGAAGATCTTGTTACAAGGTCTCAACACGGATTTCTCAAAAATAGATCCTGCGTTACTTGCCACTTCGACTTTTTCAACTGCATCACTAGTAATCGCGAAGCACGTAAGCTAGTCGTTGTTCTATACTTCGATATATCTAGGGCATTTGACATGGTATCTCACAGTATTCTCTTTGAGAAGCTGTACTCTTGTGGAATTCGCAACCCATTACTGAACTGGTTAAAATCATTTCTAAGCAACAGGGTACAAATAACCAAAGTTGGATCTGTATTGTCTCACCCTAGGCAGATCTCAAGTGGGGTCGTGCAAGGTAGTGTCCTAGGTCCACTTTTATTCACAGTTTACATTAACAGCATTTGCAAGTGCTTCACCTCAGGTAAACCATTCCTATATGCTGACGACCTCAAAGTCGTCTACTCCTGCTACACTCATGAATTAAGCGATATGGTTACTAAAATACATCTTGAACTAAGTAGCCTTGCAACGTGGTGTGCTGAATCCTGCCTAAATTTTAACATTGACAAATGCGGCTGGATTTGTATCGGCAACAGTAAGCTTGATCTAAACCTTGAAATAAATGGGCGAAAACTAGCTAAGCTCAATTCAGTCGTAGATCTCGGTATTAGATACTCTAGTAACCTAACGTTCGCTGAACAGACTGATTATGCCAGACGTAAAACGCGTAGGCTGATAGGATGCATAACACGCAATTTCTTTTGTTGTGAAACTAGGGTTTTATTATACAAAGTATGTGTCCGACCTATCTTAGAATACTGCCCGTTTATTCTTAGCGGACTAAGACAAAATGACAAGCTTAAATTAGAGGGAGTGCAACGGCAGTTTACCTCAAGAACTCTTGGTTTAGAAAGTAGTCTGGAATACCATGAGAGATGCGTAAGACTAAGATTAGAACCCCTCTGGAAAAGACGCCTTAAGCTAAACCTAATCTTTTACTATAAGCTAACTAATCTTCTCTTGCATTCCTCCGAGCCAATAACTAAACCTACCGCTGTCGTCAGTTACAATCTTAGAAATCATCACAACCTAGCTGCTATAGAGCACTGTCAGACTTACGTGCGGTACAACTTCTTCTTAAATAAGTTTTCAGTCATTTGGAATAGACTACCAGCTAATGTGCGCGATGCAAACACACTTCCAGTGTTCATCTCCTCAGTCACCAGACTGCTCAAAGATGACAATGCACTTTTACGTCTGACTCTTACACCCTCTTTTTCACCCTACATAGATATTTTAAGTTGTTTAAACGTGTAGTTACAGCAAACTACAATTATAAATTTTAATATTATTGGAACTAGATGATTAACATTTCTACACAGGACAGTAATATTAGTTCACACATAATATAAAAGTTAGCATAACGGGACTAGTTAGTTTGTGTACCAAAATAACCACAGTTACTAAACAGAATATATATGTATATATTTATTAATCACTCCTTAAGGACTCCCGTTGCTTTCTTTTGCGTTGCTGTTGTTTGTCTTCTTTTTTCTCTCACCATTTCAGCTTCCATTTGACTTTTTGAATGAGAATGAATAATGTGGATATTTGACCATTTACAATGACAAATGATCTGCAAACATTATTGGTCCCGTATCTTTCAGTTGCCTGGTTAATAACGAATTAACTTTCTCCACGACGCAACCTGGATTACATTTGTGGAATATACTCTTATACCAATGGAAAAGTATCAATTTGTAATACAACTTCACGATTGTAGCTTATAACATAACTGATCGTATCTGTAAAAATAGCTTCCTTATTACCCAATTTGGATATAAATCAAATCAAAAATGAGATTCGGATTTGTACACACCCAGGTTATATTGAGGAATTACTTCAAGCTTTATTTTTTCCCAAGTATTTTTAATCCATCCAAAACTTACTTGGGTTTTTTTGTTAATGCGAAGACAATATTCCTATATTTCATGATGTGCTCCATTGAATGACTTGTTATATTGTGGAATAACTTCAAGCTTTATTTTTTCCCAAGTATTTTTAATCCATCCAAAACTTACTTGGGTTTTTTTGTTAATGCGAAGTCAATATTCCTATATTTCATGATGTGCTCCATTGAATGACTGGTTATCATATTGTTCCCACAGACCTAAAAAAATGGCATGCATTTTCATGTAAATTTATATGTTTATATGAGAATATACATTATTATAATTATTATTAAAACAAAAACGCCAGCAACCATGTAACTTAACCATAAACCGAATTTATGAAATTTAATTAATGCTTATCCATGCCTGTATATTTGGTGTGTCCTACACAAGTAGGAAAAAATGTGTACTTTATTAAAACATTATTATTAATTATGATTGCTAATCGTATATGTAATTTATCATATTGATGATGCCTGTAAACTGGCGTCTCTCATGTACAAAATGAGAATATACTATTATTATTATTATTATAAACTGTCAGACAAATCTCATGAACCATTAATTTCTAGCTCTGGCAACGCTGTGCCTCACACTGTTCCTCGAATATTTTTTAGAATCGCTTACTATTAATCGACGCCAAAACCAAATCACTGTTTGGCAACTCCAGAATTCTTCATTCTAACGCCAACATATAACTGCTTTCACAGAGTAAGGTCTAAGAAGAAATACTACAACATTAAATCACTATATTACTTCTGACAGTTTTTTGATCTTACTTCTGAACAGAGACCGATGAGACGATGACTGCTGTGTCGATGACTCTCGCGAAATATATGGAGTTGGGTTTGAGAAAACAGCCATGAATTGATCGTGAAATCTCCAACTACATTGACAACAAATGTTTTAGATAGTGTCCCGAATTCGGTTATAACTGTATTACCACCCTGTAATACACTATCAACTTCTGGCTCTCAAAATGGTTTGAGTGCAGATCTCACTCCTGTAATACAGGCGAAAGATGTTCTGTTTGAGAACTCTGAGTTGTGTAAATAAACTTCTTTGTGAAAGATATCAAGAAACAAGTAGGTGAACTTCAGAAAAAATTAGATCAGTTTGATAGTATGTCACCGCCAATCTCAAATACCACGGAAAGCCGTTCTGATATTGGCCAGGTTAAGTCTCTACTGGATGTAACTCAAAATAAGCTTTCGGATTTAGACCCAATGGCTTGTCTGTTAAAAAAGCATCCTAAAATGTCTCCAGACCACCTAAATAAAGCTGAAAATCTGATTGACTGCTTGGTTGTGGAGGTGATGAAGCGTACAACCTCTTGTCACACAATGCTTTCAAGGGAGGAGCTATTAATGGGGGCGGTTTCGCCAGGCATATGTGTTTCTAAACTAAAGTTTGCAAACCAATCACTGAAAAATTCACAGTTGGTGGCAGGCTCATTGTAGATTACTTCGCCGCGAAGTAAGTAGGGGATTTCTCTCGTCGACTGCATTCGTTTGTTAAGAAGTCCCGTTAGGTTTTAAACTTTGGAGGTACTTTCAAGTGCCGCTAACTCTTCGTCGAGGTCCTTTTGAGAGCGCAGGCGCTTGATAGATTCAAGAGACTCGTGGATTGAGAGCGATAGTGATATATCCTTAGTGGAATAGTACTGTTTCTTCAACTTCCTTAACTTATTGCAGTGTGCCCTCGGAATATATTCGGCTCGGTGTCTACTTAATTTCACTATTTTCTTTGGAGCAACTGTATCCAGACAAAGGGTAACATTCATGTAAAATATGGTGTCAATGGAGTTGAAGATTGAACGATCAATTCTTGGTTGTTTGCTTAAAATCAACTTCCCCGATTTTCGCGGAGGCATCAATACGACAGTCATCGTATCATCGGTCGCTGTTCAGAAAGAAGAGTGAAACATCGTCAGAAGTAATACAGAGATTTATTATTGTAATATATGTTTTCAGACCTTAGTTTGCTTAGTTCGCTTATTCCTTTTATATGTTGGTGTAACAATACAGAAATATCAAACGGCAGATCGGTGTTTTGGTTTTTGCGTCCGTTATAACTAAGCGTTTCTGAGAAATCTTCTAAGAACAGCGTGGGCCCGAGCGTAGCGAGAGCTGAGCATTAACGGTTTATGAGACGAGACTGACAGTTTCTGACGATTGAAACAGATCTGGCGGATTCAAACAGTTGGTGAAAGTTTGGATAGTCACCGTTCATCTTTCCTGGTGCCGGTCAAGTCCTCTTTGAACAAGCAATATCTGGAACTTTTTTGGAATTCGGTCAAGTTCAACAATGCCTGGGTCAAAGAAGGGACAGAGTGTCTTGGATGCAAACAGGAAAGTAAGTCATGGTGACTTGTCTGTTACTTGTAACGATGTGTCTGATGTTAAGCATGACATGGTTGATGTTACTGTTTCGCCGTTCAGGGATGATAGGAACATCAAACTACCTAAGTTTGAACCACGGTGTTTTGATGGAAACCCGGCCGATTATTTACAATTTGTAAAGGAGTTTGAGATCATGTTGAGTGGTTTTTTATTAAATGAGGAATTGAAGTTAATGTATTTGATGAGATATTGCACTGGAGATGCTGCAAGAGCTATACAGTGTTGTAAGTTTATGAAGCCAAAAGAGGGCTACTACGAGGCTATGAGCATATTACGTCAAAGGTTCGGAAGACCTTCGATGATTGCAGGGAAATTATTCGAGGCTGTTGAGGGTAATGGTGGTCAATTACAGGATGACTCCCAGGCACTCACTGAGTTTTTGATAATTTGCTGATTTACAAGAATGGAATGATTTCGATGAATCGCATGAGTGACCTCAACTCGAGTTTTATACTAGAAGTAATAGCAAGACGTCTACCTACTCGACTGCAAAGGAAGTGGGTGAAGATAAGCTCCCGTATGGAGGATGAGGGTATCGAGCCGAAGTTTGATGATATCCTGAAACTGGTAAATACTAGTGTCAATCAATCTATGAGCAAGTTTTCCAGTCTGTTAGATCTCGCCCATAGAATAGAGCAGTCTGAGGGTAAAACGCACTCATTGATGACGAATAAGCCTCAGAGAGGTGGATATCGAGAAGGCACCATGATGTCTAGTAATGCATATAATAATAATAATAATAATAGTATATTCTCATTTTGTACATGAGAGACGCCAGTTTACAGGCATCATCAATATGATAAATTACACATACGATTAGCAATCATAATTAATAATAATG